CTACTACTACTACTTACTACTACTACTACTACTACTACTACTACTACTACTACTACTACTACTACTACTACTACTACTACTACTACTACTGCCGCTACTACTACAACTACTATCTTGTATAATATATATAGATTGTTACGGATTCATCCTACAGGTAAGTCCAGCGTCCAGTAGTGACGAGCTGTCGAATAAGGAACTCTATCCGTACTTCTTGCGCACGGCCCCGGCTGACACAATGCACGTACGCGGCCTGATGCAGCTGATAGAACGCTACGGGTGGACGTACGTGTCCGTACTCTACCAGGACGGCAGCTACGGCGAAACAGCCGCCGCCTACATTCGCGAAATCGCGAGAAACAACGACATTTGCTTCGACGCCTTCCTCAAGGTCAGCCAATCGGCGACGTCGGCCGGCTACAAGGACATCGCGCGCCGCCTGGTGGCGCACAGGGGCGTCAGGGTTGTGATCGTGTTTCTATACGTGCAGCAGTTCTCTCCGATCGTGATGGCGCTGCGCGACACTGGCGCCACTCAGCGGGGGCGATTCATATGGCTGTGTAGCGACCCCGCGTCGCACGGAAACTTCGAAGACATGGAGGAACTCGGAGAAGGAGCGATATCGTTTCGCGTGTGGGCGCCTGCCGACATGCCAGATTTCAGGCGCTGGTGGGCGACGCGTTCACTGTCGGAATACGGTGCGTACATTATAGCAAACAAGGTTTTATTATTCCGAAATAAGGCGAGGCTTTGTGAATCCCGCTAGCCGCCTTTGATTTCACATGCTTGGATTAAAAACATAAAAATGACCATGATTATTTTGAATGAATCAATGTTTCTAGAATATTCCCGTTAAAAGCTTTGTTAATTAGGTTGGTCTTGAGTGGTTTGTAAATTAGATCATCGCAATAACTCGTGGACCGGTTCCTTATAAAGTATTAATAATTTATCATTATGTAACTTATCATGTCAATAATTTATTATTTGTTATAGGGCTCACGCGCAAACCTTCGGCATTTTAACCTATCTAATTAGAAATTACGGTTGAATCGGTCCACATCATGTAGCATATGCACTCCGCAGAGCAAAAAAAAGAGCAGACTACAATTAGTCATAATTAGCAGCTAGTATATCGCTAACAAGTTAGCGAACACTCATTAGACAATGCTGTGGATCTGTGTCACGTATATATATAGAGACCAATGTTTATGGCTCGCCTTCACACATGCATATGCAATCCTATGCATGACGGCATTATATACATATTAACATTAACATTAATATTAATATTAACATTATATAACATTATATATTATTATATTTAATATAACATATATATATATATATATATATATATATATATATATATA